TTCATGGACAGAGAAGCCTGTTGGGCCTCAGTTCATGAGGTCTCAAAGAGTCAGACATGATTGAGCACACACACTACAACTAGAATAGCTGACTCCATTCAAATCCTGACTCCACCACTTAGTTAGAGGTTGTCATCTAATCTCTCTGCTCCTCAGTTTCTGCATCTATAAAATGGGTTTGCGATTACACTGACTTCTAGGATGGTCATGGGGTGTCATGGTCTCAGTGCAGTAAGTGACACGTAGTAAGTGCTCACTAAATTGTATCTGTCAGTATCAAGCACCACCCCCACCCCCACTAAAAGTGCTGTGTCAAAACAGCAATTGTGATTGCACAAGTAATAATAATGCCAAAGCTAACATACAGAGCACATGTGGCCAGAACCTCAAGCCAGCCCCTTGAAGCTGGTTGTGTGCTAGCTAACCAAAATCTTGGCAGTCAGCGAGTCATGGGGGAGCTAAGCTATTTGGCATTTAAGTCTTGGTTCTCCTGCTCATCAGAGGTGTGATGTTAGGCAAGTGAGCATCTCCAAACCTCAATTTGTTTCCTTCCTCCCACTCTTCCTTCCTTTAATAAATATTTTGAAGTGTCTACTCAGTGGAGGCACAATGCTAGGTTCTGGGTATTCCCCAAATGGACAGGCCCGTGATGCATCACAGGAAGGCTGTACAATGAAGCAGGTCACCCACTGTCTGCTGGGAGCTAGCCTGCACGTGGTACCTCTGTGCTCTCAGCAAATATGGCTGCTCATCAAATTCACTATCAAATGCCTTGATCTCTTCTGCATCTGCTCTCGTCTGCCTTTCTCCTGACGGAGGTGACTGCTTCTTATTTTCTCCAGCCCAGATGAGATGCGTAGGTCAAAAAGAGTGACTGTGAAGGTTATTGATTTTGTTTCTGCGGTCACAGTGAAGCAGGCAGACTTTTTCCCTGTAAATTTAGGATACTATCAGTATATTCATCATCTAAGAAATTAAAAAGCTGAAAGCAGAATCTGCCAAGAAGACTCTACTACTACCTCCCCTTGATCTTATTTAGTCCTGGGCTGTCTTTAAAGCAAATTTGACTGACATGCAATTCTTCAGTCTAGGACAGCACTGTACCAGTTGTGTTCTATGGAAAATTATATCCTTAAACTGTTAATAGTATTCCATGAAAGAAGTGAAATTATTGAATATTTCTTTCCTGCAGACCACCCCCAAGATCTTAACATACAGATGCATGTTGCGATATTGTATGCTATATTTCCAAAGATTGTTTGAGTGAGGAACCTTTCTCCAGCAACACTAGCAACATCTTGTGGCTTATTACTCTTCCTCAGAGAAGAGTTTGAGAAATGTCCTAAGTTAGACTTCACTGATGAAAGTCATGCAGAAACACCCAAACTCTGGTAATATGAGCACCATACTTAGAAGAGGTGGAACAGACATTGAGTGATGTCAAATCAGAACTGCCTGCCCCAGTTAACGCCAGAGAGTGAACAGAGAATTCTCTGTGCACCTGGCCATCCACACTCTGGCTTGGCTTACCATGACCGAGTTGCTAGGGATAGCTGTCCAAGTGGACAGGGTATCCTGGCCCTGTTTACTTTCTCCTACTGCAGAATTCTCCTTATTTCCCACGTCCAGCAGAAAACCTCCCTACAGTTGGTGGTTTGGATGAGAATATTTATCTTCCCCAAACAGCTCTGCAACTTCCTCTCCCTAAATTGGGAGGTCGAGATGACTCAGGGTAGGGAAGAACTTACACTGAGAAAGAAAACACTGTTATTTGTGGTTATTTCTACTTCTGACAAGTTGCGTGACCTTGGGACAGGACTCAACCATTCACTCAAGCTTGAATTTCTTCATCTGTACAATGGGGATAATAATAGCACCCATGTCACAGGGTTTTTGTCTGAGGAGTGTGCTACTGCTTGCAAAGCACCTAACAGTGCCAGCACGTTGTATGTCTGCAATTAATATTAATGTCAGTTGTAACTTGCTATTGTAGATTCCACGTGTGTGTAAGAGACAGAGAGGGAAGTGGGAGGCATATGATGCAATGTTTAAGGTATAATGGGAATTCCATCTTGTAGAGGAAGATATAGATTAAAATGGCAAATGAATAAATTTCCTACTAATTATCTCTTTCACTTAAAGAGATAATTTATCAATGTGATACTAGGCAGAGTCCTGGAAAACAAGATTACTGGTTGAAGTGAAGTGAAGTGAAAGTTGCTCAGTCAAGTCCAACTCTTTGTGACCCCATGGACTATAGTCTACCAGGCTCCTCTATCCATGGAATTCTCCAGTCCAGAATACTGAAGTGGGTAGCCTTTCCCTTCTCCAGGGGGTCTTCCCAACTCAGGGATCAAACCCAGGTCTCCCACATTGCAGGCTGATTTTTACCAGCTGAACCACGAGGGAAGCCCAAGAATACTAGAGTTGGTAGCCTATTCCTTCTCCAACAGATCTTCCCAACCCAGGAATCACTGGTTATACATTAATTAATACCTTAGTTTATATATCAGAGACTTCCCAGGTGGCTTAGATGGTAAAGAATCTTCCTATAATGCAGGAGACCCAAGTTCAATCCCTGGGTTGGGAAGATGTCCTGGAGAAGGGCATGGCAACTCACTCCAGTTTTCTTGCCTGGAGAATCCCCATGGACAGAGGAGCCTGGTGGGCTACAGTCCACGGGGTCGCACAGAGTCAGACACGACTGAGTGACTGACATTGTCACTTATACATCAGCCTCTGGAGGATTTAGTCAGCATGAGTCAGTCCTCAGAAGTTTACTTTGCATGGGATACACCTTATGGCTGCATCATGGCACCCAGGATACTGAATTCGATGGTTAGAGACTTGTGAGATGGGTGATGATTCTGAGGATAGAGGGATAGATTGCCTTGAGGGATTTTTTTCCATCAGGCCTCTTGACTATAGCCTGGACAAACTCTCTTGGCCAGCAGTCTTTCGCTGGACAAGACCATCTCTTTTACTGTGCCTGTTGAAAAAATAAGTTTATTGATTTGTTTTTGGCTGGACTGGGTCTTTGGTGCTGCACAGGCTCTTCTCTAGTTTTGGCCTGGAGGGGCTACTCTCTCCTTGTGGGGAGCAGGCTCTCATCGCGGTGGCTTCTTGTTGCAGAGCAGGCACTCTAGGGCGCTTGAGCTTCAGTAGTTGGGGCCCGTGGGCTCACTAGTTTCTGTTCCCGGGCTCTGGAGCACAGGCTCAATAGGGGCTAAGTTGCTCCTCGCCATGTGGGATCTTCCCCGATCAGGGACTCAACCCGCGTCTCCCGCACTGGCAGGCGAATTCTTTAGCACTAAGACATGAGGGAAGCCCTCCCTCCGCCTGTTTCTTTATCCTCTTTAACACTCCTCTTCCTAACCTCCTCCTCTCCCTCTGCCTACCCCAGCAGAAATTAGCATAAACTCACTGCTGCTTTTTCCATTTGTCTTTGGAATGCAGACTACTATCTTTTGTTGTTACATTTATGTGATTCTGCTCCTTATCTTTATCTATTTTTGAAGTGGGAGCGTGTGAAAGTCATATTTTAGGATTACCATTCTATTGCCATATTCTTGGACCACTTGTAAAAGTCTCCTTTATACTCAGCAGTACTTTTTAAATATAAGAGTATATTTGCATTGTAGTAATACAGTAAGCATTAGGGTATAAAGAAAGGTCGAAACACATGTGAACCAAATTGGAAATCAAGCACAATACTAGAATTTACCGTGAAGGAATTGGGATTATTTATCAAGGGAAACAAATGTTATGGACAATAAACACATAACAGTCTCTTGCTTTGAATATGGCACCTCATTACTTTTCTATTGCTAGTAAATGTCCTACAGTGTGACAAGCACTATGCCAAATATTTCACTTATCTCTCATAAGCTTCATTTAGACTTTCTGATATCCCTGAAAACCAGGTGGTATCTGCAACTGAGACTCATGGATTAATGAACTGCCCTGAAATGACATGCATGTGTGCATGCTCAGTCGTGGCCAATGCTTTGCAACTCTACGAACTGTAGCCCACCAGGCTCCTCTGTCCATGGGATTTCCCAGTCAAGAGTACTGGAGCAAGACGCCATTTCCGACTCCAGGGGTTCTTCCTGATCCAGGGATCAAACCTGAGTCTCTTGCATCTCTTGAATTGGCAGGTGGAGTCTTTACCACTGGACCACGTGGGAAGCCCAACCTAAAATAATACTCTTAATACTAGTCTAGATCAAAGTTTAAGCTTCTTCCCCACAAGGGAACATTTCTCGACTGTAAGATGTGGATTATCGTAGAAGGGAGGACTGTTTTGGTCAAGATAACTATGTTACAGAAGACAGCCTTACCCATACTCGGCTCTTAAATAAAAGAGCCCTTTCACAGACATAAGGCCAAGCCAGGCTTTGTAGGATCTGGGGCCACAAAGAGCTCTCTCCATCCTTCTCTCTCTCCCTCATTCTCCCCCTTGCCCTCTATCTATGTGTGTGTGTCTGTTTATGCACATGTATACATGTGTGACTTTTCTGTTGGGAGATCCTCACCATCGGAGAATTCATTCATTCATTCATTCCTTCAACAAGTATTTGAGTTCCTATGTGACATGGCAATCATGGGTAACCTGGACAAGTAGTTCCGGCAGAATAGAGAACACGAAAGCCTGACTGGAGAGGGTCAAAGAATGAAAAATAGAAGAAATATTAGCAACAATGAATATGGAAAACTCTTTCAAGGTGTTTTGCTGTAAATAAATTGGAAGGGGAGGAGAGGGGAACATCCTACCAGCTCCACTAGGAGATGGGGAATGTGAGGGATGGGATCAGTTGCACAATGGAGGGTTTAGCCTCAGAATCGGCATTGGCGGTTCATCTCCAGCAATAGGAGTGAGGCAGAATATGGCTGCTGATTATAGCCAGGGGGTAGGTACAGCAGTGGCGATGAATGTGTCAGGCTGCTATAACAAATACCATAGACTTGGGGGCTTAAACAACAGACATCCGTTTACTCACAGATGTGGGGGCCAGGAAGTCCAAGATCAAGGAACCAGCAGGTTTGATTCTTGGTGAGGGCTTTCTGCGTAGCGTGCGGATGCTGCCATCTTGCTGTGTGTTCATGTGCCTTTTCCTTAGTGGAGAGAGTGAGGGAGACAGAGAAAGAGACAGTGAGACATACAGACACTTCAGTTTTGTGTCTTTTTCTCTCTTTATTAAGGCATTTTTCTTTTCGCGAGGGCCTCAACCTCATCACCTCATCTAACTTTAATTAATTCCTAAAGGCCCCACCTCCAAATGCCATCACATCAGGGATTGAGGGTTCAACATATGAATTTGGGGGGATACAAGCATTCAGTCCATAGCATTGTGGAAATTGTTGTTAGATGTTCCTATATTATGCAAAGAAGGAAGGAAGGTTCTCTGATGAGAGTGAGGATGTGGAGGGAAACTTTGGAATGTAGGAGACAATAGAAGTGTGAAAAGACTAGGCACATTTGGTGTGGGTGCTGAGCAGCATTAAGGGCCCCGGAGGGTGATGGATGTGGATGCACCGTTGCCTGTATTTCTCCACTTATGTTTATATTGATGTAGGCTGCTAAGTCGCTTCAGTCGTGTCTGACTCTGTGCGACCCCATAGACAGCAGCCCACCAGGCTCCTCTGTCCACGGGATTCTCCAGGCAAGCATGCTGGGGTGGGTTGCCATTTCCTTCTCCATGTAGGCACGGAGTAGAGGTGAATTTGATGAAACAACCTTAATTTAGCAAAGCAATGAATGAGAAAGTTGCGAAGGCGTCTAGCATGTATGGGAAGAAGTTAATATGATAATGGACTCTAAGCTGAATGAGGAGGGGAGTGAGGATATGAAGGGTTAAGGGCCATGAAAAGATACTATTCGGCTGTCCACAAAGTTGAATTTGTTGGCCAGCCCAATACATCCCAGTGAGTTGAAGAATTATGAGAGGCAGGGAACTAGAGGGAGAGAAGTGGAAAGTTAGAGAGCCGATCAGGGTGGTGATAGGAAATGACAAGGTCAAGGCTGACCATCAGCGTGGGTGGCTGTGGTAGAATGAAGGGAAAGGTCTTGAAACTGGGGTTAAGGAACTGAGCTTCCAGGATGCTGGAAGAAGTCTTTCTGTGGATATTGAAATCACCAAGATAATTCTTCAATGGATATTGAGTGGATATTGAAACCATTAGAGGCAGAGTGACCTTGAACAAAGAGTCAAGTCTTCAAGGAAAGAGGAGGCTAACTGGGAGACTGCATTGACCACAACAAGGAGGGAGGGTGGGTAGGATGGTCTGATGGTTTGATGGGATGTTTAGGGAGGGACTGTGGTCTGGAAGTGGCACAAGGACAGAGAAAACAGTACTCTCCCTTGAAGTCCAGTGATACAAGGACTGTGGGGGAGAAACCGCCTCCATCTGAGAAGATTTTGGAGGAGGAAAGGGCCTCAGGAGAGAACCAGTGTTCATTTAGAACAGTGATTCTCAAAGCGTAGTTAAGGAACCCCAGGGAGCCTCTAAAACCCTGCCAGAGATCCATAAGTCAAGAAGTATTTTCATCATAGCATTAAGATACTATTAGCCTCTTTGCTCTCCTTCTCTCACAAATCTACTGTGGAATTTTCCAGAGGCTACGTGATGTGTGATAACACAACAGATTGAATGCAGGAGTGTAGAAGAATCCAGCTGTCTTCCATTAAGCTGGAAGTTGAGAGATTTGCAGAAATGTAAAACAATGCCATTCTTCCTGGGACTTAAAAAATGTATATGTATATTATATGTATATGTATATACATATTTTATGGATCTAGCCCAAACAATTTTTTAAATTTTTATTTATTTATTTTTGGCTGCACTGGGTCTTCGTTGGTCTACTTGGGCTTTCTCTTGTTGTTGGGGGGCTCCTCTCCAGTTGCAGTGCATGGGCTTCTCATTAAGGTGGCTTCTCTTGTTGCAGAGCACAGGCTCCGGCTGTGCAAGCTATAGCAGTAGCATCACACAGGCTTGGCAGTTGTGGCACATGGACTGAGTTGCCCCTTGGCACATGGAATCTTCCCGAAAAAGGGGTTGAACCCATGTCCCCTGCACTGGCAGGCAGATTGTTAATCACTGAACCACCAGGGAAGTCCTAGCCCAAACAATCTTAAGTCCAAGTCTGTCATATTGCACAAGTCCCGAAAGACATCATTCACACTGTGGTCTAAGTGACTGATGCTTTTTGCAGTTATGTAATACAGAAGCTGTCATGTGAGAACCTTCTCTGTGCGTGTCCGTATCTTACTTCCACATTGCTTCCTCTAGCATCTTTTCGTCATAGTCTCAAACATGTCAATGTATTGCATTTAAAATGTGTTTAAATGGTTCCATGTTTGGAGGATGTGTTCAACGAGAGCATTTATTTCCCTATTCCCTCCCACCAAAATGTGCGTAGGGACATAAATCAATTTCCCTCTCTATTGGATAATTCTCATCAACCTTTAAAACATGACTTGCTGTTTATCACCCATTTATAAATTAACTGTCAGACAATCAAACCAACAGACTGTCTTTTGACTCTGTACCTTCTAGGTACAGCCCCATTTCTATGCTCCCCTTTATAACAAAACTCTTTGAAAGAGTTGTTAGTATTCCCCGTCTCCACTTCAATTTTCTTTCTCTTTCCAGCTCACTCTGATGGAATCTCCTTCCATTCCACTCCGCTGAAAGAACCCTTATCAAGATCAGCATCAACCTACATTTTGCCAAAGAAACGTTAATTCTGTTTTCATTTTCACTCACTTTTTGACAGTGTTGAACATACTTGATCAATCCTTCCTTCTTCATACATCTTCTTGAAGTTTCTGTATCACACGTTCTAGGATTTCCCTGTCTCATTAGAAGCTCATTTCTTTCCATTCTTCTGCTGGTTCCTCCTCTTTTACTAGACTCCTCTATTCTTCCCGATTTCTCTTTTCCATCCATACTCTCCAAGGCCTCAGACCTAGCCCCCTGGTGTTCAGTACCATCTATATACGCTGAGAGGGCTCTTATTTCTCTAACTCTCAATGCCATCTCATACATTCCAGTGTCTCTTTGACATCTCTGCTTGGCTCCCACGTTAGGCGTTTCAAACATAACATGGCTAAAGCAGAACTACTAATTCTCCTTCTAACCTCAGCCTCCATCCTGTCCTTCCCATGCCAGTAGATGGTATCACTCTCCATCCCATTGCTCTAACAAAGAGTGGAAGCATATCCCATGATGTCTGTCATTTCTTCATACATCCATTAGAAAGTCCCATCATCTCTAATGTCTTACAAACATTTTTGCTTTAAACCTAATCCAAGCTTCATCACCTCTTCTTTCGTTTACTGCAGTCACCTCCTTAAAGGGACTGCCAGCCCTTCACTTCTACTACTTTTCTGGTTTATCCACCATGTATTAGCCAGAGGGATCTTTCTAACACAGAAATCAGATCACATCACATCCTAGATTCTAAAACCTTCCAATAACTTTCCACTGTGATCCAACTTACCTTGACTTATCAGGTCCCATATGATCTGACCTTGATCTTTTTCCTTGGACCTGTTTGCTGGGCTTCAACCATCCTGCCCTTCTTCTTAATCCCTCTAATTTGCCAGACTTCTTCTCAACTCAAGGCATCTACACTGGCCATTTCTTCTTTTGGAACATTCTTCTGTTCCTATGTCTGTCTCTTGTCATCATTTTTTCAGTCTTTTTTTTTCTTTGGCCACACCACATGACATGTGGGATCTGAGTTCCCTGACCAGGGACCAAACCTACTCCCCCAGTAGAGGAAGCATGGATTCTTAACCACCAGAGCATCAGAGAAGTCCCCCTCTTGTTGTCATTTAAATCTCAACTCCAGAGCTACCTTCTCTGAGAGACCATGCCTGATAATCATAGATAAAGCATTTCTCTTCTTCCCTCTGATTCACCCTAATGCCTCATTTGATCCTCATCATAGCACAGATCAATACCTGAAATTACATGAAGTCACCTTTATGTGTTCCTTTCCATGTTTATTGTTTTCTGTTCCTTAGACAGTAGATGTTTTGTCTTTCTTGTTTGCTGTGGCCTTCCCAGTATCTGAGAACAATAAGTGATGGCTCAATATTTGTCCACCAACTGATTGACTTGGAATTGTGGAAAGGAATAATTGAAATCTGGATTATCCAGGGAAAATTTGTGTAGGATTGCTAAAGTTCTTTTCACTTTTAAGATTGGCTCATTCAACTTATTCTCAAAATACCTTCAGAATTACATACCAGCTTGAGAATCCCTGGTGGGTCAGACCATAAAAGAATCTGCCTCCATGCAGGAGACTCGGGTTTGATACCTGGGTTGGGAAAATCCCCTGGAGGAGGAAATGGCAACTCACTCCAGTGTTCTTGCTTGGAGAATCCCATGGACAGAGGAGACTGGTGGGCTACAGTCTATGGGGTCACAAAGAGTCAGACAGGACTCAGCGACTAACACTCACTTTCACCTTTTAGACTGAAGGAGAGGCACTTCCCAATACTAAAAGACAAAAATAATTGGAAAAAAACACACAACATAACAGAAACAGCCCATTGCTATCAAGAAAAGAATGAAAAGACAAAGACAATTTTTTGTGTCATCCAAAATTCTTTCAATACACAGACTTTAAGGTTCTCAGTATTACTGTGGAAGTTAAAAAGAGAACAGAAAGTGGGCAAGATTTCTCATTTGTGTGCTAAGTCCTCCTGCTGTAACAAAGGTCACTGATTTTATACCCCAGTGTTAGATCAGATGCTAAGCTTATTTTTCAAATGATCCTGTTTTTATGGATGGTGCAGTGCTGTGGATATATGTATATTGAGGGCTTACACAAGTTCTATATCTAGACTGGTATTTATCATGAGTAACTACATTAACTCATTTTATGACCAGAGCTCTCAGGTGAAAAACTGTGTTCTGATACTGCCTATGCCTGGGCACCTACCTGTTCTCCTCACAAACTCTGTACCTGGCATTAGCAAAAGATTTTGGAATTTATGGGCCTCTAATTTTCTATCTATAAAGAGGAGGAAACTTATGGAAGGATATGATCTTTCTCTTCATTGGAAGACTTCTATGATATGATATGAGAACTTGAGGTGTCATGGAAGGAGGTCTGAATTGGAAATCAGACCTTAAACACCTAAATTCAACAGACATTTATTTTATTCCTATTGTATACCAGATCCTTAAGGTACTAACAGCTGTGATTCTGTAAATTGCAGCAACTTAATTATTATTTAAAGATGGAAGCACTTAATCAGAAAAAGAGGGAGTACAGTATAAAACAGGAGCCCTGAATTGGCATTGCCTGCCCTGTCTTTTCTTGGTTGTGTATAATTTTACACGAGTCACCTAACGCTTCTTGAAGTTGGTCTGATTAAGCTTTGGGGGGTAGGAAGGGGTAGAATGAGTTGGGAGGGGCAGGCATTGTCATGGAAACAGAGGAAAGTAGAAACAACAGACTTCCCAAAAGAGCAGAACTGGATGGTGGCTTTGATCCTAAGGCAGCCCTAGCAAAGGCTTCAGCTACTCCCCCGTCTTGATGCTCACTCACCTCCATATCTACCCCATCACTTCCTCTCCCTCAGCAGCATTCAAATTCTGTGATTCCAAGCAAAGTTTCCTTTAGAAGTGGGTTCTCTGGCTGGGAGAAAAATGGTTTGAACTCTACCATAAATTCTGCTGACTCAGACCTCTGGCGCCTCTGACAATATGCCAGCATCCCTTTTCTAGCTGCATCCGGGTGCCAGAGAAGTGGGTGAAGCAGGCTGGGAATAAGAGAAGCAGAGAGTGGGGAGTGGCTGGGATTGTGCAAAGTGAAAGTGCATGCCCTATTTAACAGAAGAGAAGGACCATGGCACCAGCTAATTGTGGCTGTGCAGGCCTCCAACATGGACAATGCCAAGTAGTCCAGAGTTTTCAAGGCAAGCTGAAAATCCATATTTTTGCATGAAGTTTTCTGATTTTTACATGTTGGCAAGTGATTTTAAAAGTGTTTACACCACGGGGTTCAAACAGTATACATCTAATATATATCTAGATGGTCTACAGATAGCCAATCTGCAGTGATTAGACACTAGAGTTCAGATAAAGTCATGACATTTCAGCTCTTGTTCTGGATACTAGCTACATGTATGTCTGTGTGTGTGTGTGTGTGTGTGTGTGTTTACATTCTTGAAATGGAAACTGATTCACTCAGTATACCTTTTGAGGCCAGAGTTTCTCAGAGAAGTTTGTCACAGAGTTTGGCTACTTTTGGATCAGGGCCCACTGAGGCTGCCTAGGGCCTACCCTTTCAGCAGGAAACTTGATTGGACCAACTTCCACTTCAGAAGCTGTGGCCATGGTAAACTGTGTACCTGATATATCTAATAAAGAATGAAAATTTTCTCCTCCATAAACAAATGCTTAAATAGAATAAACTGTATTAGTTTCCCCTAACAAAATTCTATTTCTTTTTTTTTTTTTTTACAAAATTCTATTTCTTAATAAGAAAAGGCAATGTTCCATTGACATTAGGTAGAATTTTGGTGAAAATTTGAGTGGTAACAAGTATAATATATTGGTATCAATAGGCCTTAGAGCAAAGCTCTCATTTGCACCAAAATATTGGCTCCTTTTAATTTTTAGAAACTTCTGTTTACAAAATTAGCAACTTCTTAGAGTTGAAGTCTCTATCCTCTTTAAACCTTCCTTCCAATCCTTGAATACTCTTTTATGTCATCCACACCATGCTGGCATCACTTGTATTGTGAATATTTCTCTTTACCAGGGGGTGTGCTTCTTTTGGAGGGAGCCTCTTTTATTCTTGGATAGGCCCAGTAATTAAGTTTTTTCTTATGGCACAGAGTCCAACCCACCATCGGCAACCAGTACAGCATATATTTGCTAGATGAAATCTGTTCATGAATTATTTCATACACTATTTACTGGGTAGCAGCAAATATGCCAGGCACTCTCCTAGGATTTTGGATAATATCAGTGAACAGAACAAATCCAGGTTCTTGAAGAGCTGATGTTCTAGTCTAGTATATGTTCCATATACTTCACCACCTCCCAGAGTTTGCTCAGACTCATGTCTATTGAGTTGGTGATGCCATCCAACCATCTCATCCTCTAAATTAAAAAAAAAAAAGTCATATAAAATGTTACATGGTAATAGATGGAAAAGAAAAAGTAGAGTTGAATGAGGGGGATTGGGAGGGAAGAGTGAGTTACAATTTTAAATAGACTGCATAGGGAAGGCCTCATTAAACAAAGACTCCCTTTCCACTTCCCAGACCTGCACAATAATAACAGTAATAATAATAGTGTCTGTTGAATCTCAGCAGAGATTCTAAGCAATTTCTCTGTGTGAATTCGTTAAATCCTCATAACAAGCCTGAGATACTACTACTTTTATCCTCGTTTGCATAGGTGTACACTGAAGCATAGTGGTTAAATAACTTGGCTAATATTCTGCAACTAGTCAGAAAGGGTGGTTGACTACCCTTGACCTCTGGTTCCAGGCTTTGGCTCTCAACTGCTCTACACAACTGCTTTTTTTAAAAAATTTTTTACTGGAGTATAGTTGATTTACAATGTTGTGTTAGTTTCAAGTATACACCAAAGTGAATCAGTTATACATAAACATATATCCACTCTTTTTTAGATTCTTTCCTTACATAGGCCATTATAAAGCATTAAGTAGAGTTCCTTGTGGTATACAGTAGGTCCTTATTAGTAATCTGTCTTTTTTTTTTTGGCTTCTCTATCCTACTGACTTTGATTGCTAGTTCATTAAAAAGATTTTTAATATATATATTTTATTGTAGTTGACTTACAGTGTTTCAGCTGTACAGCAAGGTGATTCAGTAATACGTATACACATATATTATTTTTCAGATTATTTTCCATTATAGTTTATTACAAGATATTGGCTATAGTTCCCTGTGCTAAACAGTATATCTTTGTTGCTTGTGTATCTATTTTCTTTTAAATTAGAAACCTAGCATTTTATTCATACTAAGTCAAACAAGGAGAATAAAAATTGTCATAAATTTTTTAGCTAGGCAAAAATTCATGTTTTCTAAAATATATATATTATACATACTATATATATGTATACAAAAGCTTTTCTACTGCACTTGATAAAGGCTTGAGAAAGAACATCTAAAAAAAAACGGAAGAGATGGAGAAATTGGAAAACATAAACTAAATGAAATGGGAGCACTGAATATGAGATGGAAAATGTCAGTGTAACGTTGACTGCAGTTCCCAGTTACCTCATTGACCACTGTGCTCTCAAGCCTTCTGATCCCAGGCACGTGCTTTGTCCAGTCTCCTTCATTGTCTGTGATTCCTGGGATGGGATTTAAAGTCTCCTCATGATGCTGAGGTTTGCTGAGAACACTTTAGCTCTATCTGATATCTCTGGACAAGGGGAGCACCTGGAGCTTCATGAAACCCCCTTTGGGCACATTCTGACCAGCAACCCTTTCATAAGGTCACACTGCTCAAAATAAACACGAATTTTTTTTCTCAGTTTTGACATAAAAAGACATCTTTTTTTCAGCAAATGTCACTGTGGTTTCAAAGCCTAAGTGTGATGTGTGAAGGAGCCCATTTGTAAAGTATTTCCTGCTCAGCCATAGGGTGAAATTATGCAAGTCAGTGAGTCCTGAGAACAGCTGCATCAAATTCTTAACACCTGCAAAAGAAAAACAGTTTTGAAAATAGTTTTTCATTGTTTTTAATTTGGGGATCGGTTGGCTTTCTGTTGTTTCAAACTCTGAAGGACCCTCCAATTCACTAAAACTTCAGCTGGAAAGAGAAGTGAGAAACTAAAAAAAAAAAAAAAGTTTACCAAACCTAAGGTAGAGACTTCACTGGAATTACATTTCCATTAATGCACTTAACTTCTGGAACCGGCCTGAGGATTGTCCCTTAAAGCAATGACAGAAGTCCCAGGCTCCAGCCCTCCACTGAACCCTAGAATCACCCCTTTGGCGTCCTGGTAGGGTTTCTTTTCGTGGGGGTGGAGGTGGGGGTGGGTGGCTGGGGGGTCTCGAGACCTCTTGTGTGAGGGAAGCGCAGCGCCAAGCTCCCTTGACCTGTTGCATCCTCCCCAGCTTTACAAGCGTTGCATTTCCTGAAATTGTTGCACTGGATTGAAGTGCAGGCGACCCCTTCCCCTTGCACCGCCCCCCCTCCCTAGCCGGGTGAGAGTTGCTGCTGGGGAGGAGCAGTGGGATGGGGTGAGGTGGGGTGGGGTGCGAGCTGCTGGAGAGAAACTGAAGCGATGAGCACAGGACAGGAAAAGTGGGAGGAGGAGGAGCGGGGGGCGGTGGGAGGAGGAGGGGGAGGTCGTAAGATGAGCGAGGAGGGAAACGTGTCACCAGCTCGGGTCCGGGAGCTCCGCCGCCACCGCGATTGTGGACTCGCGCCGGAGAGGACTTGAGGCTGGACAGGACCCCGCCGAGCCGGGAGAGGAGGGAGGAGAGGGAGCTGGGCACCGCGCGGTGGCGAGAGCCATCCAGGTCGCTCATTGCTCGCGGGTGAGAAAACTTTCTCGGGAAGACCGGAAACTTTTCCCCGGGCGCGCAGAGTCTGGGGCGGAGGCGAGCTGCGGGGGTGCGTTGACTCGAGGTGACTCGGGAGGGGCTGGAGCCTTAGGCTCAGCAGCGGCACGGGATTGAGAACACAGTCGCCCGGCACACCGGGCACAATCCCGCGGGGCTCGCGGAGGGGGCTTGGGGAAAGCGTTACATCTGGGGGCAACCGGGTGGGGGCCCTCTCGTGGTTAAGGGTCCTCGGATCCGACGCTGCAGGCGGGCACAGAGGACGGGGCTCGCGATCACCGGGGTGGGGGGGGGGGCGGGGGAGGGGAGGAACGTTCCCCGCGTCGTGGCTTAGGATGGGCGAGGGACGCCGCCGATCCCAGGACCCAGGCTATGCCTGGAGATCGAAAAAGAAAGTTTGCATGTCGGTCTCTCTGGTTCTCCCCTTTGGCCCCTTTGAGGTGCAAATCTCAAGAGCTGCCCCTACTCGGGCGCGGGCGATTCGGCGCCCCGAAACACCCCCATCTTTTCCTACTATTCCCCCTTCTTTTCGGAGAGAGGCTTGGGAGGGGAGGCCAGAGAAGGGAGCCGCTTTGTCCCAAGCGCCGCTGGAAGTGCGCGCTCCGCAGACTGGGGCGGGCCGGGGAGCAGCCCGCGGAGACTTCGGCCCGGCGGGCGGCTGTCCTCGCCAGCCGCATCCCCTTTCCGCTACATCTTTCCCGCCCGCCCGCGTTTTGGGGAGGCTTTCGCCTGTGCGCCTACTGTGCGCGCACGCAGAGCTCATTGCGAGCACAGGGGGGCGCTCTGGAATCTCCACTCCTGCCTCTCGACTCTGGTTCCAGCTTTCTCCCCCCTTTTCCTAGGGGCGGCCGCCCAGGATCAGACCAGGTTCTGTACTTGCACACGGTGCTTCAGGAATCGGCTCTGGGGTGCCTCCCTGGTTGGCAGTAGGGTTTTCCCCTGTTCTACCTAGCCTCCGCCTTGGGTCACATGCCACCGCCTCTTCCCCTGAGGTGCCGGG